AAAAAAAAAAAAAAAAAAAGAGAATTAAGAGCAAAAGAACCCAGCAGGATGATTTAAAATGTTGTGAGTTTGGCCAGAAATGAAGCTCCAGTAAAGCTGTGAACTGCAAAGGCAAAGTGGAGAAAGTTTTCATTGCTGAGAAGGGACAAGAGAACATAAAAGATGGCCTAAGGACATCACAAGAAGCAGCAAGTCTCCACCCTTTGCAGCCTCAAAACCGCGAAAGTGAAAGATTGCTTTGAAGAGAAAGCCACAGAGCACCATGTTCCAGAATGGCGGCAGCCGCACTGTGTTCCAGAATGGCAGCAGCAGCCACACCAGGTCTCAAAATGGTGGCAACTTAGAGAATTTGTTCCTCAGAGTAGGATTCAGAATGCCCAGCAATCCAGGCACTTGGACCCCTATAGCCGAGAGAGGAAAGCCTGGCAGCAGACCTTGGCATCGTCTGTGTGGCACTGGTTTTAGGTGCATGCAGAGTGCAAGAGTTCTGAGATTAAGAAAGCTTCCAACTAGATTTCAGAAGGCCTGGAAGGCCAGACAGTGTGCCCCTGAAAAGGCCATATGTGAAGTTGTGGGCATGAAGCCAAAGGTGCAGTGGAGAACCCACAAGTTTGGAAGAGCAACGAACGTGGATCATCTAAGGAAAGCTGTAAGGATTAAACAGAATGGGCCTAAAAGAGAAGCCCTGGGAGCTACAACCACCACAAGTGCGGAGCCATACAAGTCATTTGGAGCTCACAATTTACCACAGATTGCCTCGGATGTTGCACGTGGAACTACAGGACTTAATGTTTGCCCTGCTGGATTTTGGACTTGCTTTGGTCCCAATGCTTTGTATCCCCGTTTGTACCTTTTGGAATGGTAACGTTTACCTTGTGCCATTGAATGTTGAATGCCTTACATCTTGGAGGAGACTTGGGACTTAGACTTTTTAGCAATACTAAAACTGTTAGGACTTTGACAATTCTTAGAGATGGACTACAGTGCCTTTTGCATAAAAGGATGTGTGTGAATCTTTGGGGGGCAGGGGTGGAATGTTATGGTTTGTGTCTAGATGTCCCCCCAAAGCCTCGTGCAGTCTTGGATGTGGGCTTCTAGAGTTTGTGATTGATTCATGGTCCAGTGCTGGGATTACAGGTGTGAGTGCTACACCTGCCCTGAGGTGGGGAGCCTGCATACAGTGTAAGGGAGGGAAAGAGGCTTGCTCCTGCGCTTCCCTTTTAGCTCTTGCTGCTTTTGCCATTTTTCTGCCACCATGAACTGTTTGCCTTGGCCATTTGTCACCCTGCTTCAGAGCCAACCAAGTATAGACTAAAACCTCCACAAATTGTGAACTAAATAAATCTTTCCTTCCTTAGTTTTGGATGTTGGGTATTTGGTCTCAGCAATGAGAAGAAAGTAACTAAGGCATACTAGAAGGGAAGTTACTTTTGGCTCGATCGTGTGGGAAAGGTTCAGGTAGATGGTTGCTTTTTTTGTTTTGTCTTTTTGAGACAAGGTCTCACTGTGCAGTTTAGGCTGGCCTTGAGCTCACTTTGTAGCCCAGGCTGGTCTCGAACTTGCAGCGATCCTCCTGCCTCAGCCTCCTGAGTGCTGGCTTTACAGGCAAGCGCCACCATGCCCAGCTAGGTGGTAGCTTTTGAAACTGGGCCTGAAAGCTAGTTAGAATTTTGGCAGGTGAAGCTTAGAGACTGTAAACAAAGGCTATATCTAATTTTTCAGATACTTGCCATAGTTAATTGATGAAACTCTGATTTATTTTGAACTGAGTGGTAGTATCAGAATCTTCAGCAGGTGCCAGAATATATTTCAGACTGCTCAGAACCCACCTGGGGAACCCACTCCTCATGTGGCTGCTTCCATCTGCTGATTTCTGATGTAAGAGAAATGCTACCAGTGCAGGTGTTCCTTAAGTGAACAGTGTGGAGGGTAACTGCTCTTCCAGATTTCTAAGTTGTAGTGTATTATTGTTCTTCAAATATGAAGAAGTTGAAAAGTAGAGAAATAGTAGGGATAATGCTTGAAAACTAGCTCAGGCTTTGAAAATGAAGCTGAGGAATTTTTTAAGGTTTGGACCAGAGAAAATGATGCAATCAGAGTATTGCGTTGGGAAAATTGATAATGGCTATTGAGTATTGATAAACAAACTATTGGAATGGTTTTGAAAAGAATATTAAGGGGCTGTATCTGGCAGGGGAATGATGAGAAAAAGGAGAATAAATAGGTGGGTTCCAGGGGAGAGATACTTGGAGTCTGATGGGATAACAGGGTAGAGGAGGAAGGAAAAACTGCTGTGGGGTTTGAGCCTGATTTTAGTGGAAGAATAAAGATGAGTGTAATGTAGGGCAAAAGGAAAGTTTGGTTTAGACATTTGGGTATGAGATGTTTATGGAATATCAAGAGGGAATGCTATAAGTAGGTTTTTGGACACTCAGGATAGAGAGAAAAGCTTAGAAGTTTGTTAGCATTAAAAAGCAAAAGGCCAATTTTCAGAGTACTGCATATGACCTAAACAGTGTGTAGACAGAAAAGTCACTAAAGATCTAAATTCTGGTAAAGGTCATGTTTAGTAAACAACAGGAGGAAGACTAGGATCTTGAAGAATACAGAAGAACCTATGAAACTGTAGCATCTCAGAAACTAAAGGAAAGGAGAGACAAAAGAAAAGGATGGAAATACTAATTTCTACCCCCAAATGCGAAAGATTGTCTTTTTTTTCATCTGATTGCATATATGGAGAGGATACTGAGAATTTAGTGAGTGAACCCACTAAAATTATTTTCCTCTCTCTTGTATATGGTAAGTCATTAAGTAATTTAGAATGCAGAGTCCTGAATTAGTATTATTGGGATGAAGTCATATACAATTTCTGCTTTTTTTCTTTCCTCAGGTAGACCACTATTGGAATTTTCTTAACATTAGTGCTGAAAAAGTACTCTGACATCATTACCTTGATTGTGGAACTGTGAGATACTAGAAAGTAGTTGTTAATACATAAAGTCAGATCCTTAATAAATATCCTCATTCTGTGTTTCAAATCCTCTATGTTTCTGTGTTTTAAATCCTCTGCATTAAAACTATGTAAAACTATTTTGCATAGTTTTAATGTTACCAAGTAGATATATACTTTAGAAATATCTTACTTTAGGGGCTGGGGTAAGCTCAGAGGCACAGCGCCTGCCTGGCAAGTGCAAGGTCGTGGGTTCGGTTCCCGGTACCGGAAAAAAAAACCCAAAAAAAGAAAAAAGAAATATCTTACTTTATAAGTTTGTCTTGAAAAAAAGGTAATACTTTAAAAAAAGGTAATACTTTTTGTTTGTAAGAACCAAGAAAGAATAGCTGGATGTGGTGGTGCATGCCTGTGATCCCAGTACTATGGGAGGCTAAGGCAGAAGGATCACAGATTTGAGCCTCAGCCTAGGCAACCTCAAACTTAGCGAGACCCTGTCTCAAAAAAAAAAAAAAAAAACATGAAAAAGGGCTTGAGGATATAGGCCAGTGCAAAGGCCCTGGGTTCAATTTGTAGTACTTAAAATAAAAAGCAACAATATAAAATGTAAAATTGCCAGTCTTACACATAAAAATGTATAAATTGGAAAGCCCTGCAAAGTTCTGCACCCCATAGTCAGCCATATTTATTCACCCAACTTCTTTTATTTTTAATTCATATACTGAGTGATTTTTTTTACAGAATATCCCACCCACTGTTGGGCTGGTTCACTTTTTAACATAACCTTAGACATCTTCCTGTGCCAGCACATTTCACTTTGCTTTATTCTTCTTTATACTTCTGCTCTGTCTTCCAGCACTACCCAGTAGGTGGGTTTACTACCACGTAGAGAAGGTGTGATCCCAAACCTGCAGCTCATTGCTCTTTGTGGTCACAGCGGCTCTCCTTATCATTCTGGCCCCACTGCAGGTGCTTGGTTTGCTTCCCACTTTGAGTTTTCTTCCCAAAGTTTTAACTCTACTCCAGGTTTATGAGGGATGGTGTTGCTGTACCCATCACTATGGCAACCCCAAAGGTCATTTACTAGAACTGGAAATGGACAGAGCCGGCCGTGGCTAAGCAGAAGTGGGAGCACCACGGTGGAGAGAGGCCAGCTGAACACCCTCAGTGTGCAGTGCAGGCTCCCAGGTGTGATGGCGGCAGAGTTCTGTGCGTGGTAAAGAAGCACTGCTGCACTTTAATGTTACTGTTAGCTTTCTTTTAGTCCTTTATGTTTTCTTCAAAGAGTTTGTGTTTACTTCTCCAACTGTCTAGTTTTTTAAAAGTCATTTTTATAACCTACTACAAGATGGATTTGTAGCAGTATCTAAGTTAATAATTAACTGTCTGTAAAGTCAATATTGGTGTTCACTCAGCTAACCCCAGCGGGCATGTCATGTGCCTTAGGTCCTTTTACTATAAGCATCCTGGGGTGGTGGGATGAGGTAGAAGAGAGCAAGAAGCCAGAAGGCTGGAATCCCCTTGGTTTTATTCTTCAGAGAGGACTTGGCTAGCATGAACCTTACATACTGCAGTCTTTAAAACAAGGTACCAGCTAAGGTGCTGCGGAACATTCCTTCAGAGAATCTCTCTCATTTTCAGTTCCACCACTGATTTGTGTTTGCTTGGTCTAAATGGGTTGTCCAGCATAATAATCCAGGTCGAATGTCATCCTGAGTGAATGGGGTAGGGTTGCCATTCCCATCGCTGTGGTGACTCCAAAGGTCGTATCCTTAGGAGACGGGAGAATAGACCAAGTCTGGAAACAGCTTCTGATCTTGGCTTTGATCATCACACATCCATACCCTAGACAAATCTTGTTATGTTGTCTGTAAGGACGCTGACCAAGTTCCATGATTCTTACATAGAGATGTAGATCAGAGTCGTATATTGAGATTACATGTCCAAGTTCAGCATCTAGAGACACGATTCAGTAGTGGTGATGCAAGGACAAGTTATACATTTATAATTTGCAAACACACTCCCAAGGGCTTCTGCGGCGCTCTCCTTTTTGAGAATCTGTCTAACTCATCAACATTTGAGTTTTCTCCCTCTTCCCGTTGCTCTGTTTGCCTGTGAAGCCCTCCTTACTGTGGTGGTGGCAGGTGTTGGTTCTTATCCATCCCTTTGCTCAGCCACCTCTTTCTTCTTCCTCAGAAACAACCTGCAGTGTTTCACGGTGCGGTGTAGTGCGGCGGCAGCTCGTGAGGACCCCTACATGGACACTAACCTAAAGGTTAGTTAAACTGGCAGTTGATGTCTGCCTGGATCCTCGTGAGACCTGAAGATCCAAAGGGAGCACATGAATACTTGTAGATTTTCTCTTGGGGCTAGGCTGGGGAAGGACTAAAGGCCTTAATGTTGTCTTATTTATTGGAATAGAACTTTGCATGTCAAATATTAAGCATTTTATGATTTATGATTGAAATAGCTTTTAGGATTGCTTTGAAAACATTTCACTCAAGGTTGATTAGCGCATGGTTTTTAAATTGGGTAAAATACATATATAGTATAATTTCAGAAATAGCAGTATTATACTACAGTTTTATTTAATTTTTTCAAGCCCAGCCTTGGTAATTTTTTTTCCCACATCTGCAGATTTATTTACTTGACAAAAATACAAAATGATATTATCACAAATGGAGAGAGAACCCTGATTAGTAAAGTCTAAAGCTTATATATACACTTTAAAATATCTGTCAAATATGACAAACATCACAAAACGCAGAAATAAAATCAGTGTTTTGATTAACTAAAACGTCCTCTAGAAAACTCTCTCTTTTGGGGGGGTGTTACCTGTTTTATTTTGCTCTTTTGATTTGAGTTTCTCCTATCAGAAAAATTGTATAATATTTAGGATTATATGTTTTATTTCACTTAACCTTAGGATCTCAGTGTGCATCCATTTTCATACAAATGACTCGTTTATCCTTCTTAATGGCAGAGTAATATTTGACTGTGAATGAATGCCACATTGTCTTTATCCGTCCTTCTGTTGGTGGACATGTAAGCCACTTTCAGGACTTAGACATTGTGAATTATGCTGCTAGGAACAGGAGTATACATGTATTGCTGTGATACGATGTCTTTTAACTCTTTGGGGAAGATACCTAGAAGGGGAATAGACGAGTCAAATGAAATTTCTAGTTTTAGTTTTTTGAGGAATTGCCATACTGATCTCCATAGTGGTTGTACTAGTTTACATTCCCACCAACAATGTAGAAGGATTCCCTTTTCCAGGCAACCTCTCCAACATTTGTTATTGTTTGATTTCTTGGTGATTGACATTCCTTCTGGAGTAAGGTGGAGTGTGGGCTTTGTTTTCATTTTCATTTCTCTACTCACCAGAGATGTTAAACATTTTTTTCATGAATTTACTGGCCATTTATACTTCTGTGAAGTGTCCGTTCATTTCAGTTGCCCATTTTTTGATTGGATCTTTTATTTTAAAAGGTCTAATATTTTTTGAGTTTTTATGTATCATATATAATCTCTAAGGAATAGCTGGAAAAATATAAGTTGTCTCTTCACTCTATTGGTTCTTTTGTTGTGCAGAGCCATTTTTAATTTGATATGATCTCATTTGTTGACTATTTCTTGTGCAGTTGGAGTTCCATTCAGAAAGTCTGCCTACGCCTATGTCTTCAAGAGTTTTACCTATTTCATATCCCAGCAGGTTGTTTCTGTTTTAATGTATAGATCTTTGGTTCATTTTTATCTTAGAAATGTGTCTGTCCTTGCAGTGGTGGGTAAGGGAGGTAATCATACCTCAGATATGTGCTGGATGCTGGCAGTGGCGTGAAGGTTCAAGTATTCAATGCTGGCAATTTCAGGCCCAGCACAACTCAAGCTGGGCCTGGCTCCCATCGCCGGGGGCGGGGCTTGTATCCTTCCTAGCCCAAGCTCAAACCTCTCTGTGGGTCTCTTTATAGCCTGTTCTCTATCGTTGGTTGTTACCATGGCTGTTTCTCTCCCAGTCATGTAGGAGGATAACACTGGGAACCTGAAGGGAAGCTGCCCTGCCCCCATTCTGAACCCCAGATGCAAGCAAGCAACCCCTTTCTGGAATGGCTCCTAACCTAGTGTGGCAGACGCCTGTGCTGGGTCCCCACGCTGGCCTGTTGCCTGCCATGTGGAGAGTCCCCACAGAGTAAAACTTGGCACTGTCCCTGCAGATCACAACCGTGGGCCCCCTCCAGAGTCCCCGTCTCTGGTCCAGTCCAGTGCTGCTGTTTTTTTCCCTGGGGCTCCCAATGGTCACCTTGCTTTGCAGAATCAGGGTCGCCTTGCCAAGGGCCACAGACCGAGACAGGAGCCCGGGAGAGACCCTGACTGTTTCAGTTCCTTTTCTGCCATGTGGTCCGTCTCTCAAACTTCTCTGTAGCTTTTAATTTTTTTTGTCAGTTCCTTACAGATTTCTGGCAATCTGCTTCTCTTTATATCTTCCCCAAGTTGTTATTTTTCAGTGTCTGGCTTCTTGATTTTGGAGAGGCTGAATTTTATTGCACCTAGTCCTCTGCCATCTTCATTCTCACAATTTTATTTTTTTTAAACAGAAATATTAGTGGCAGTTGTATTAACAGAGAGCTATTAACAAAACAGCAGATACCAGTGTAGTCAGGAGTAGAAAACTGAGTGAAGTGCATTGAAATGGTTTATTTATAGTATTATCAGATGTGCTGTAATTCTTTTATTTTTCAAGCCTTCAGCAGTCTTCTGTACTTGCTCTAGGAGCTATCAGCTGTGCTAGATCAGTGACCTCATTTTAGTGAGGAGTGATATGCTTTGTCTTGGAAAAGCTCTTCACCACAAAATATTGACAATTCGTGGTATCTTCTGACTTGAATTTTTGTTCTTAGAAATACACTGATCATTTGCCTAGTACTCTCCTGTGCTATTTTACTTCTGACATACAAGCTCATTGAATTGATGTTTGTCATGAAGGTACATGCTGCTCTGCTTTCCTATTAGTTGATGTCAACTTGGAACTTTGTGCAGCTTTTTACAGAAAAATAAGTGCGCCGTAGCAGTGGTTGCATTAACAAACCAGCCTAAAGTGAGCTCTTACCACACTCACTGACACCTACCTGTTGGTAAGTGAGCACTTCATGGAGAGTGTACTGTCTGAGTTCTTGGTGACTTATTTTGCCACGGGCTGCCTGTAATTTTTTGTTGGTGAGCAGGCTTATTGTTTGCCTTCAGCCCTTTGGGAACCAGAATCACAGATTTCCCATTTCTTATATGAGATGCATACATAATCTTTTCAAATAAGAGATGATTTTTAAAATAAGGGTTCTTTTTCTGGTAAAAATGGGAAAATGACAGTGATGAAATATCTTCCATCCTTTCCTCTTCTTTCTTCTGTTTTCCTCCCACCTGGCCTTTTTAAACCTTAGAAATACGTGAGCTTACACAGGGAATGGGTGCAACAGTGGGACATAATTGCTTTGTAGATTGAAGTAGGATCAGTCTACATTTGAAAAGCTCATGATTCTACATCTTCCTGTACTCTCATAAATCTAGAGAGAATGAACAAGGAAGGATTGAGGGGGAAGGAAAGGGATAGGGCAGAAGCTGGTGGGAACTTGCTTCTCTGAGGCCGGTGGAGGCAGGAAAGGGAAAGGCAGCAGTGATCTCATCTCAGATTTCCCTTCCCTGTGATTCTACGGGTTGTGAAGTCCTGGCCTCACTGAATAAGTGCACAGTCTCACCCACATGCTGACTCAGGCTGGGAGCTGTGCTGTCCGAAAAAGATTTTACACTCACGTAGTCTGGTCCAAAGTACATGTGATCCTCCCTCCCCTTCCTCTGAGATTCTGGCTCTTCAGCTTTACCCACATTCAGCTTAACTTTTTTTTTTTTTGAGACAGGGTCTCACTATATTTCCCAGGCTGGCCTTAAACTTGCAGCTGTCCTGCCTCAGCCTCCTGAGTGGTGAGATTACAAGTGTGTGCCATCGTGCCTGGCTACCTTAACTGTTTTTACAAATGAAAACATAGATGAGTTGTTTCCCCAACCAGTTTATACAAAGGCATGATGATGATGACTTCAGAATCAAAACATTAATAGAGAAGTCAGAAGTCTGTCAGCATCACTTTATGAGATCCCAAAAATGGCTCTTCCATTATCTTTCTTGTCCATTATGCGTAAGTTAGTGGTCCCCTAGGAGCAGCAGCCTGGCTCCTTAATTTACCTCACCGTTCTAGCCTGTGAGCTGTTCTGGCTCTGGTTCTGTTCACACCCGAAAGATCACAGTCAGGGTTCTCTGAACATGCAAGAATCTTTTGTATACATCCATCCACAAGGAAACGGTTACATTCACTCTCCATGCTGTACTATATTCTTCCAGTGTGTGAGTTTTGCCTGGAAACATCATTTGGGTGTAGCCCACTATGAGTGGGCATTTCCCCGGTTGGTACTTTACCGTCTTAGGCTGCTCTTCTAGAGGATTCTGCCAGAGAGAGCGCAGGGGTTTCTACAGCCATGGGACCCTCTGTCTGCATTCATTCAGTCAACCAATACTAAAGTTATTGAGTAGCTCTATAAAAGAGACAGTTGGTTACATAGACATAGATAACCTGTCACTTTCTTAAGAAATTTGGGCTTATTGAGGGGTGAAGGAAGAAGAGATTTTATCAGATAAATAGACTGATTCTTGATGATTAAAGTCCACATGCCTTTATTCCTAACTATTTATAAATAAATTTGTGATTTTTTTTTTTTTTTTTTAGGCCTGTCCACCTGTCAGTATGGATATCTGTGCTTTAAGAATACAGCTTTTTATAGGCTTGAAAGCCATCTGTCATTTTAAAAATCATGTGGTACTTTTGACCAAGGCAGACCCGGAAGCCACTCCAGAGAGAAGAGAATCACCCAGGAGGTTTCTGTAAGGATCCCTGTGCCTCAGATATTCCTGCCAACTTCCAGAATGAATTGTAGCTGGTGTAGCTTGTGTGTCTTAGTTTAACTTTTTAAAAATCAAAACTTTGGAATGATCAGATAGCTTTTCTATGGTGTTCTTTTCCCAGAGACGGTGAAGAGGTTCTAGAGACCTCAATAGTGGCCTTTGTAATGGACCATGGTACTTTTAGGAGCAAATGAATTCTAAAACAGTTTCAGTGAAAAGCAGTTCTATTTTAGATAAGAATCTTAAAATCATGCTTTTCTGTGTAATTAATGGGAAAAACAGCATTTTACGCTAATTCAAGTTACAGGACTTTTTCAGTTTTTCTTCAGTTTTTCTTCTTTGACCTTCTAGGAGTTATATTTTTTATGCAAAGATTGTTTTCTCACAGTGCAAAAGAAGTTAATAACAGTGTAACTTATAGTCTGTCTTCACATTTCTTAGAGTAGAAAGCTTTAATTCTAGAATACTAATGTTTCTATTTGATGTTTTTTGGTCTCGTGAAGGCTGCAGGTAGGAGAGACCCTGGGCACAGGGACTTTTATAGTCCACAGTACTTTCATAGCCTGATTTGAGAATATTTATGGAGTGAATTGGAAGCAATTGGTTTATCAATGCATAATAGTTACATTACATATAGTTGGCCTGTGTAGTACTAAACCATGTTCAATGAAAACCACCTGCATAGCTGATCACTGAAGAAGTCGCTGAAAGTGATTTCATAGTTATAGTGTTTCATGGCACCCAGTATTTACCAGCTAGTACTGTCATTTATTACTAACACATCTTACCTTAACAATTGTTAACCTTTGTTATGCTTTCAGTTCTAGAAAAGATACCAGTGTTAAGACCAAACCTCCTGTAGCTGAGGCTGGGTGGAGTTTGTATATTGTGAATACGATCTCACCAGTGCAGCTGTACAAAGAAATGGTACTTTTTTCAGACTTCTGATTATTTGTAGAAATTGAGTAAAATTGATGATCATAAATTGATTATGTATATCATACATTCAGGATGCCACAGCCAGCCAGTTTCCAGGATCTGTGTGACAGAGGTGTGTGTATCTTTCTTCACCCTCTCGTTTTCAAAGCTTCTAACACTTGAGGAGCTGCTAGAAATTCCCTTCACTGAAATTAAGAGTCCCTTATTCAAACACACCTTCCAAAAAGGATCAGTGACCCAGGCTAAGTATTAGTAGCTCTTGCCCTTGACTTTGAACCCTAGCAAAGAGAAACATGAAATGGAGTTAGATTAAATGTAAGACCATTTATCCTTATCTCTCTTTCTTTGCATGCTAGCAGATTGTTCTAGGACACTGTGGTTGGTTCAGCAGTACCCTATCAGAAGGGGCCTGGAGTGGACATCCTTATTCTTCTTCTAAGGATGAAAGCTTCCTACTTACCACTGCCAATGATTTTAACTTTTTATTTTAATATGATTTTAAACTTAGGGAAAAGTTGAAAGAATAAAAATAGTATGAACAAACCCTATTTTCCCCATATGGATATGCTCATGGTCAGTGTTTCACTCCTTTCCTTCTCTTTCTGTTTATACTCTTACGCTTTCTCAACATACATTTTTTTTTTCTGATCCATTGGAATGTAAATTTAATACATGATAGCTTTTTGCCCCTAAATACTTCATTGTATATATTTTTTTCAAGATTGAACTATCTTTATTTTCTGATTAAAACATACATATATATAAAGGAAAGGGATAAAGGGAAAAAGAAATTACACTGTGCTGACACAGAGACTTGAAATTCTAATTAAGGGTCTACCAATGTTCAAAGGAAACTACTACAGGAAGTCTCATCAAGGCATAGATGAGTTAGTTGAGTCTCACTCTAGCCTAAAAATGTATGAAAACAGTTCTCCACGGAACTGGCCCCACAGTTGTCGGAATGCTCTTAGGCATGGGTTAGTGAGTCCGGAGAAATGAGTTCTCTCCGTGCCTGGTGTGACGTAACAAGCAGCTCCTACTGCCAAGTGGTATCTGCAGCTCACAGCTTAGCTCAGCAGTAGAATCGAGTGGAGAACTTAGAAGAGACAGGCACGCTCAGAGGCTGGTCACTGGACTTTTATCTCCCCAGACTGGTATTTGCATATCGGATTTGCCTTATGTACCAGTTCTTTCCATAGCCTGGCCAGCTCCCGCTTCTTCTGTTCTTCTTCCTGTTGCCTGGCCTCCTCCAGCTACAGAGCTTTCTGGGCTTCCACCTCAGCCATTCTCTTCTTCATTGTATATTCTTTACAAATCAGGATATTCTCTTGCATAACCATACCAGTCACATGCTTGAATAAATTGAACCTAGAAATGATATCTAATCTGCACTTCTTATTCCAGTTTTGTCAGTTGACTCAGTAATTGCTTATAGACATTCTCCAGCTGCTTCATTCTAGGATCCATTTTGCAGTCAGGCAGTGTATGTGGTGGTTGTCATGTCTCTTTAGCCCTGGAATCTGGACTATTTCTGCTGCCTTTCCTTTTATTTTATGACACTGACATTTCATTTTTGAAAAATACATCTTTCTCCTCTACCTTTTTATTTTAGAGTGTTCTTCATTTTGGGTTTGTTAGATTACTTTCTCATATTAGATTCAGATTATGCATTCTTAATTTTTTTAGTGTATAGTATCTAGAGGGACATGATATCCATCTGCCCCTCACTATTGATGGTCATTTTGGTAAGTAGGTAAAAATGTTTCCTGAACCACCCCCACCCCCAGCAGTTTGTGCTGATAATTACTGTATATCAGCTTGGTTCTGTCTTTTCAGTCTTGCTTAATTGAAGGCATTAGACTTCATGTAGCTAATTGACCACTAGCATCTGAATATACTGATTAACTCAAATTAGCTAGGGATAATCTTTGTGAGCCCTTGTGAATTATGCAGTAGATGTAGTAGACCCTAAAACTCATAAGTTGAAACTCAGGAAGGGATATTCAGTAGTCTCAATTTGAAAGAGTTAAATCACATAATTTAAAAAAAAAAAGTTAACCATTTCAAATATTTTCACTAGCCTTATCAAATTGGGACCAAAAGATCATTAAATTAATTGTATGGCTAATATTACAGTATTATTTTGACTTTCTCTAATTCTTTTTTGAAAACTACTAGTTTTCGTGGTGCTGGAGATTGAACCCAGGGCCTTGCTCATAGTAAGCAAGTGCTTTACCACAGAGCTATATCCCCAACCTTTTTTGGTTCTTCAAGCTGTTAAACAAGGTAGTGTTTGTGCTGATGCATGTGTTAAACTGGCTCACAGATAGTGGAGAAAGAAAACTCAGCTAAGGTCCTACTGAATGATGTATAATCACATACTTACTTTGTGTGTCTAATATGCTCAAATATTACTAACACAAGTTACATGTGTTTAAGAACTGGAGCACTACCAGATGTGTCTCTACAGTAACATTAGCTGTTTGTCTGTTGGTTTAGGTAGACTATAGTAACACCTACAGGACTGTGAAAACCCAGAGCTGCATCCACCTTCTCAGCGAGGCCCATCTATTAGTGAGAGCTGCCCTGATGGATGCCAGTCAGCTGGAACCTGGAGAGAAAGCAGAGCTTTTGGAAGCATTCAAAGAAAGTTGTGGGCACCTTGGAGATTGTTATAGCAGGTTGGTAATGCTGCTTAGAATCTTGTTACCTAAGCCATCTTGAGTTTTGGATGCACTTACCAGCTTTTATATCTGATACCCATTAGCAGTGAAAAATCTCTCAGTCCTATTACTTCTTTGTTAGCTTAAAGGTGTCAGGTGGACAGTCTGTGATTTTAATCTTAGTGTCATTTGGGCAGTCTGTGATTTTAATCTTAGTAGTCAGTGCCTTTATGATGTCAGAAGGAGACACTAGAGTGGATAATAATTTTTGTTTTTGTTTTGAGAATGTTATTTACAGATTTTTGTGTGTGTGTATGTTTCAGAGGCTTTCTTGATCCATGTGAATGATTGTAAATTAATAAAACAGACTTTTTCTACCTGTAACACTTTCATTTTAGAGCCACATCATGAATATTACAATTTCTTCAGTGAATTATTTTCTGTATTTAATATAAACATACAAAAAGAAACTGCATTAATTAGAAAGACTTAAAAATAAACCTTAGATGTTCCAGTTACTAATGGCACTACAAAAGTATTTTGAGATTTGTGTCTTTGGAAAGCGTGATCTATTTTATTATTGACTATGTTAAACATACAGGCTTAAAATTCACAAATGTAAGGGGTTTTGTTTCCTTCCCTTTAGACTTGACACCCAGAATTCCCATCTCACCTTGCCATACTATAAGATGGCTGGCTTGTCTCTGGCTGAAGTTTTGACCCGCGTGGATTGGACAGCAGAGGATGAATCACAGAAATATGAGAGGGGGTTGATCTTTTATATAAATCATTCACTTGATGAAAACCTGGATGAAGAATTAAGTGAAGTGAATATAGTTTTTTACATAGTTATAACTGATATTTTTAACTCGTCATTTTATTAATTTATTCTATATCATACTATTTGGAAGTCAACTTCAACTATTTTAATCTTTATTAATCTTTTTTCTCAAAAAGTAATTGGCCCTTTTCTTCATTAATGACTGTGGAATGTGTGGGTCATCTTCTCGTGTTCCCTCACTATGCACAGAGGGAGATGCAGTCCGCAGTGATCAGAGGACTTGCCCGGTGACAGCTGCATGACTTCTAGAGCATGGCCCTTGCCTGCCTCTCGTTTGCAGTCCTTCCCACAACTCTGGTGCCCCTATTTTCCAGGTGTCCAGAATTTCACTTAGAAAACCTTGGCCCAGTGACTTAAGACATTATTAAGGAGTAGTTTTAGTCCCCAGTGTATTTTAAATATAGTAGAAAATTGTAATACCAGATGCTTTTGAGAGAAAAAGTTTTCTCATATAGATGACTTCACTGGGTATATTTTCATCTAAGTTGTTTTTTAAATGTGTAATTTGATGAAATACTTTCTTCTTTGGAGTTCCTGTTAAAATTAGAAATGTTGGTTACAACCTGATGCATATTTCCACTGCTTTTTTTCTTCATTGTCATTCAGCAAAGAGATCAGGTCAGGTCGTGTCAGATCTCCTATATATCCACATCCACTCATTTTTAATCAAAACATGGTGCTATAATTTTATCTTTAATTATAATGTTTGTATATTATATCTTTTTGTGTGTATATTTGATTTTGATTTCTTTTGGCTGACAGACTTTTTCTTCTTTGTTCTTGCTCATCAAAGGAATTAGCAGCAAAAGTGGTTCAGATGTTTCATGTAGCTGAGCCAAAACAGTTGCCCCATATTCTCTGTAGTCCGTCTATGAGGAATGTGCATCCCTCTACTGCCTTGAGCTATCTAAAGAAGCTGGATACCTGTGGATTCTCCTCGGTTTTAGTGACACTACTCAAATCAGCTCTGGCTCTGAAGATGGGAGATCTTGACACACATAGAAGTGAAATGAAAAGTCATTCAGAGGTACGGTGCTCTGCCTGGTGTCAGCAGCAGGAGGATAGAGGAGGCTGGCATCCAGATGAGTGTCGGCTGTTTGTAGCTCATGCTCTCTTAACTGTAATGGGCAGCCAACTTAATATTAGAAGGGAAGTGATCCACATAGGACTTCAGATCTGGAAAATGAAAAAGTAAGACTGATAAATGGCACCAGTGGATTGTCAAAGATCTTTCAACTTCGTGTGAAGTACATTGGGCACACTCTGATCAGTACTGGAGAATATATAGGGTCTCTGTGCCCAGAACCAACAGTCTGATCTGGCATGAGAAGTATGGTGCATTCACTGAAGAGAGAGCAAAGTGATGCATATTCAAGTGTAGCAAAGGGAGTGTTGCCTGTGAGCCTTATTAGATGACTAGTAGATATCACAGGTAACTTCACAGAAGATTGGACATTTGAGTGCTATATCAAAGGAAGATAGGTCCTTGGAAAAGAAATCATTTAGGGGCATGAGGCAAAGATATTAATCATTTAAGGAAAGAAAATTGAAAGTAATATTGTCTGAGCTTTTATTGTATCTCAGGGCTGTTCGAGGACCTTTGCATATGTTATCTTCTTTAATTCTTCTAGCAGTGCTATGAGGTGGATATCATTATGACTGTTACACAGATGAGGCAGCTAAAACCCCGAGAGCTTAACTGGTCCATGATCACAGTTGTCAAGTAGAAAAGCCAGAAGGGAGCCAAGTAGCTTGGCTTTCAGAATCTGTGCCCTATACTGTTGTTTTTGTTGCCTAAATATGGTCACATATCTCCAGTAAAACAGTGGTTCTAAAATAAGAGCTGAAGTGCTTTATTATTTTACAAGTGATATGTTTTATTATAATGAGAATATGTCAGTATTGGGGCATCTTCTGCTTTGAAGAGTAGAATCCTAGAAAAAAAATTGATTTTCTTTCTGTAAGTTTGTAAGTTCCATAAATTTGAAAAAAAAAAAAACAAAAACCCTTTTGTGGGGTGTCTACAAAAATTTTGTAGACATCCAAGTCTGTCTACAGGGCCAGGGATATAGTTCAGTGGTACAGCGCCTGGCTGGCAAACACAAGGTCCCGAGTTCAATTCCCGGTACCAAAAAAAAAAACACAAAGCTGTCTATAAAAATCGAGCATCTTGATGTTTACTTAAATGTTCATAACTTCTGTAAGACAGCTAATGATATCTTGCTTGGGATTCATGAACTAGTCTTTATAAAAAAATACGATTTAACCAAATTGTTAATAGCTTAACCCTGAATCCCAAATGCAGGAGGATATACCTGCAAGAGGAAAATCTGAATGCAGTGTACACTTTTCTAAATTTGTTTTTTATCTGAAGATGAAGTTGGTATGTGGTTTCATTCTGGAACCTCGGCTACTGGTTCAGCAGAGGAAGGGGCAGATTGTTCCAACAGAGCTTGCAGTTCACTTGAAAGAGACCCAGCCTAGATTGCTTGTGGCTGCAGTCCTGGGTTTACAGAAGAACAACAAAATTGGAATTGAAGAGGCAGATTCTTTTTTTAAGGTTTGTCACATTAAAATTGTAATATTTCTGGGTGGCTTGACAAAAATCAATGGAGAATGAGAGAAAGGAGAAAAACGAAGAAAAAAGGAAGGGAAAAAATACCTATGTATACAGAAGGAGAGCTGAGATAACTGTACAGCTGAAGTCCAATGGTTTATTGAAAGAACAGTTAATGCCTAATTTTTTTTCTTTTTGACCAATTCTGCATGCTTCTCTCTGGTGGTCTGAGCAGCTAAATTGAAGACAGCAGTATGCAATATGGCAACCCCGGGTGAATTCCTACCATCTTACCTTCTGAAGCTCTGTCTCATTTCTAATGTTTTTTTTGTTTTTATTTTTTATTCTCTTTCATGGTTTGATCAGTCTTGCATTCTAACATCTGGTAATCTGAGCAGCTTCATTGAGGATAGCAGTATGTAAATATAACAGCAACTGTTAATTCCTATCATTTTGTTCTGAAACCCTGTATCATCTATATTGTTTGTGCTTTGTTTTGTTTTTGTCTGTGTTTTTGGTATTTGGCTCTTTTTTTATTGGGTTCTTTTTTTTTGGCTCTGCTTTTTATTTGGTTCTTTTTTATCATTCTCTTTAAAATTAAAAAAAAATGGGAAGACAGGGAGAAAAATTAGTGAGATTATCATTTGTTTATTGAAAAAACTGACTTATACCTAATCAGTTTGTAACATGAAAGTACAAATAAAGAATATTTCTGGAGAAACTTCATTCATGCAATCATGCAACCAGCAAACTCTTCCTTGTTAAGGTGTCTAAATTTGTTTCTGCCATGGCACTGAAGCGTTACTTGCATGACCCACATGATGGTGTGGTATTCAGTCTAGCTGTGATTTGATCTGTGCTGTATTTATTTGAGACACAAAGGGCTTGTTTCTGTTTTCAAGGTGCTCTGTGGTAGAGATGAAGATACGATTCCTCAGCTCTTGGTAGACTTTTGGGAAGCGCAGCTGGTGGCCTGTCTCCCAGATGTGGTGCTTCAGGAGCTGTGTTGCAAGCTCATATCACAGTACATCTGGAGATTATCTAAGAGGCAACTTCCTGATACCATACCTTTGAGAACATCAGAGGATCTGGTAAGATAATGAAATGATATTTTAAATTAAACTCAGACATTGCAAATCTGTCTTGTTGTTAATGAGATGGAATTGAACCTAGTTTTCTGTTACCAGATACCTTATTTAAACTGGAGTTAAAAGTACACCTAATGCTTGTCTATTATCAAAATTGCCCATATTTAAGCAATTTTAAGTTCTGAAGAATGCCCCACATTTCTGCTGTATGCTCATTCACAGTAATGGTACCTCAGTAGTCAAAGCATATGAAAAGGACACCACCAAGTCTGTACTTTCTTAGCACAGGCTCGATAAGTAGAACAGGAGAGAAGAGACCACTACCACCCTTCATGCCAAATTGAAGTGGAACTTTTGAAGGCTGGTTGGCCAGGAGGCGGCCTCCGTGGACATCCATTTCCTGTCAGCTGCACACAAAGGAGCATGCAAGCGA